GTATTATTTTTGTAACTGTTCTGTATAAATGTTATAAACTATGTAAATATGTTCATTCAGGGCCCCATGGAAGACCACTACTTGTTGGTGAATGGGTTACCCTGTCAAAAGATTAGAAATAAATAAATAAATAAATAAATAAATAAATAAATAAATAAAAGAGAGATCTCTCAAAATAGACTGATGAAGTTTGTAAATACATACAGTGCGTCCCAGAAAAAACTTTTTCATTTGATGCAACTCATATAATGCATATTTCACGCATGAGTGATTTAAAAAAAATTGAAGAGAGGGTACCAAAAAGTGATTTGGCAGGCGTTATCTGAATTTCAAAGAGAAAATTACATTTCTAGAAAGTTCATATTCTGCACTTTTATATGACACCTTAGTCAGGAAATATCAGCCAGGAATAAAAAGGCTCTATTTGTTTAAAGTAATGCTTGCATTTCCACAATTTGATTAAACTAATTCGTTTTCACTGGCTGCCTGCCGTAACAACAAACAGAGTTGACAAAAGACTTAACTCCGTTTCGTTGACGATCAGCCATGCATCAAGTCTTTCGCCTTCAAATTATTTGTAATCACACATGCGTGAAATATGCATAATATGAGTTGCATCAAATGAAAGAGAACAATCTAAGCTTTACAAATATGTGTCATTTTTTATTTATATCTGTGATTAAGTTATGATAAAACATTAATAATTCTTGGTTTTGTTTTTTCTGGGACGCACTGTAAAGCTTTTGTAGGCCTACTTTCAAGCTCAATTATACAATTATATGTTACTTTCGGTGTATTGTTTTTACGTAGAATTTTGTGATATCCTTTTTCAATTTGCGGACCTTTTCAATAGAGTAAGTATGAAGCATATTAGCCTACTTAGACCACTTACGCCTATTTCACTTTCGGCCAATTTGAAGGCTCTTTTCCGGTTATTGTGTAAACAAAACTTTATTCGAATGTTTACATCATAAAACTTTCCTGGAGAGTAGCGCAAAAGTGAGCCATTAGTGTAGCGTTCTATTTATATATTTCCTTGCTGTATTGTGTATATTTGTTCTTAGAATTCTGCGTAGTAAATGCATGGGCGGGAATGCTAATTTACTATTCCTGTGCTTATTTAAGTGTGGGATTTCACAGACACTTTGGCCCGAATTCACAAAGGAGGTTTGTCGACAAACCCATGTTTATGTGCGTCATAATTATTTATGAACGCGTTTTGACGCGTTTTTACAGACCAAGGTTTGTAAAAATGCGTCGAAACGCGTCAAATGACGCACATAAACCTAGGTTTGTCGACAAACCTCCTTTGTGAATTTGGGCCCTTGGGTATGATTGAGAAAGGAAGGGAGAGAAAGGGGGAGGGATAACGGTGTTTAATAGAGGAAGTGTGATGAGGAGAAAGGGAAGGACAGAGACTAAAACAAGATAGAAAGTGACTGACGTGATAAGAGGGGCAATCCGATAGAAATCGAAAAAGGGAAGGGGGAGAGGGGGAGAATAAGTAAAAGGGAATAAGAGAAAGGTAATGAGACAAAGATAAATAGAGATAGAATGAGAGCAAGAGGGGCATATGAGTGTGTGTGTGTATGTGTGATAAGGTGTGCGCGCGCGTGTGTGTGTGTGTGTGTGATAAGGTGTGTGGTGCGTGCGTGGGAGAGAGAGGGAGAGATAGAGAGAGAGAGTGAGAGAGAGAAAGAGAAGGGGAGTGAGAGAGGGAGAGAGAAATAGAGAAGACATAAAGGAGAGTGAGAGAGAGAGCTTGTTGTACTTATTTCCTTTTCATTTCGTTTCATTTAAACATGAGCTTTATACATGAAAGAAGAACAAATACAGCGAGGATGTGAACTACACAATGCACACGGTCACTTTATTACACATGAAATGAAGCGATGAAACTTGACTACAATTTGAAAGTGAAACAAAATCTCTATGGCAATCGGTGTGTTATAATTAGTGTTAAGCATCTGAGGAGGTAAAATGCGTACCATTTCGCTTTCAATATTAAACTCTCTTAGCTGGTAAAATGTTAGTTTGTCCAAAAATACGTCTCTAAAATAAACTAATATTCTAAAAAATGATTTAAAATGATCTACTCTGACCTAGTCTGACAAGTCTTTGATTTCAAATCAGGGGTGCTTGCCGTTACTTGTCTCGACATCCTAAGAAAGTTTCAAGGCTTATCCTGTTTTAGAATATTATATACTTTCGCAGTCACGGACACTTTTCAAAACTAACATTATTTGAATCAATTATAGCCCTAAGTTCCGTGAGATCTTTCAAAATGATTAACAATGATGGCAGCCAAAGAAACCTGGAATGATACATGCTGAATAAAGTAATCTGCTTTAATCAACAGATACACGTAAAACATATTCCGTTGTTCCATTTCCGATCCATTTTAGTATTATATTAGTAATAGAAAAAAGGGGTATATATTCGAGATTTGAATAACACTAAACGATTTAGTAACAAAAAAAATTATAAGAAGGAAACTAACGATTTTACTCAAGTAAGAAATCGCCTTAATATATTTATGTATAATTAACTATTTGGTTTTGCCTTACAATAGTTTAATAATATATGTTTTTATTGGAGGTTAAAAAAAATCTTGTTATATATCTATTCATCAGTCGAAATATATTAATTTATATTTTATATCCTATTTCAGTAAATAGGTTTGGAATAACTCCTGTAAGTGATATGTCCACCGAGAGAAAGATCAATTCAATTATTCAAATTACATCATGTATTATATTGATTGATTTCATGATTTCCCCCGATTCAGTGATTCAAAATATGGCAATTTCTACAGTAGACTCACTTCGTAACGGTCAGTGTCATTTTTTGGTTCTAATTTTTTTTTTTATACTTTTTTGGCAATTCCTAAGCAAATTTATTACAATCTTACCAACTTGCGACGAGTCTATCACATTCCAGCTTTTTTGTATAATAAAGGTTAATAGAGGAAAGTCACTGACAATACATGCACTTAACATGCTGATAAGAAACAGTTTAAACAAACACTGTTCTAAGTTGATACAGTAATATATACATAATTTACTCCTACCCACCAAAATCTAATAATTAAATCCGAATAATTACAACCTTTTTCATGTATGTATGCTTTACTGATACGTAACTTACCAACTCTAACATAAAACAAAAGCTGTACACTACCAACCATTTAAAATATGTAAACTGCGAACGCAACGAAATCACCAAAATCTATCTAAACAGTCATCAACTTCTTAAAACAACATTCAAACACTACGTATACTGTACGAACAACAGTATGATATCTATCTTTACACCATAGACTTCAATACAAAATATATTTATGCCATACTCCTTACACGTCACGTCCTTTATCAACACGATTCACAAAGTTCACATTTTCTTAAATATTTGACATAAAGCTAGATAAAACTGAACATGTGCACCCAAAAGCAGAACAGTATGAAATTCTTACAACATCAACCATCAATTTTCTTAAAGAGAAATAAAAGCAACATAGAATGTTCTAACAATTAATCCCGTACGCCATTATATAAAACTGTTTGACCCATCACTACTCACCGAAATGTAATAATTAACACCGAAATTGATGATTTGTTTTATTTCTTTCTTATGCTTTCACTGATACGTAAACTTACCAACTCTAGCATAACACGTATGCGTGAAATTCTTACAACACCAACCATCAATTTTGTTAAAGGCAAATTACAGCAACATAAAATGCTCCTACAATAAATGCCGTACACCATCATACCAGATTGCCTAACCCCTACCTATAAATATACCATAAACATATAGGGCACACACGTCTAAATAATCCGCTCGAAAATGCATGCTCGACTGGCCGAATAAAGTCGATATGATATTAATTGATTAAACAGTGATTAAATTAAGGCATCGCTTAAAAATCGCTTAAAATCTGAGATGCATGGCCCGATGTGTTATCAGTGTCTTTGATATGGTGTAATATTGAAGCCCTAAACAAATTGCGCTTCAAAATGATCATGAAGTGCCTTAAAAAAATAAAAATCTTTGGGTGACCGGTTTTACGATACTCGTTTTCCCCAGTAGACTGTAGTGTTATAAAAACCGTTAGGAAAACGCAAAATTTGATTTCGATTTTCAATCATAAATGTCTTGATAAAATGATCAGACAGGTGATCGGCTTGTAAAAATCATGGGGTTACTGACTGCCCTAAAGGTTTATAATTATCATTGCAGCATGAGCTAAATCCAGGATTTTGTTTCAGAATCTGAAACAAAGTTATCTAATCCCTTAAATGAAATTCATATAAAAATCGAGTAATTGTCCTTTGTATACAGTTTAGGTAGTTTATATATTACGTAAATGAGGCTGCTTCTCGATGTTATCCATAGGCAGGATTAATCTTTTCTTTGTCTACTTTTGAAAGGTTTCTATTACTTCCACGATTTTTTACAATTTGAATCTGCAAATTGGCCAGAGTTGTCTTTAGCTGCGTTACTGGCTTCATAAATTTAGTTTAAGCCGGGAAAATACCCAAATAAGGCACCTCGATAAGGAGACTTGTATTTAGTCACTGCTCTGAACATCAAAATAGACTTGATAATTTTCGACTTAACACGCCAATGAATATGTGCGTTCTGTACTCATTACATATTCTGAACGTGCAGTAATCGTGTTGTTGTTGGTTCCATCAAAGCCTCGAGACTTCTGATAATAACCATTAGATAAGTATTTTGTATTTATGACATAAGTCCAATTTTAGGCGGGTAATGGTACATGTGCTTACTGTTGTAACGAATTAACCTTTCGGTATTTAAGGTATTTTATATGTAGTCTGTTTCATTAAAGGATCGGCATTTCAACGATACACCTACATCTTGACAAAAAAAATCACACCTCTCGAATCGTTTTTAATTTACTAAAAAATTATAGATATAATAATAAAATATTTGATATTCTTAAACGTAATTATGGTCTAATGTTAAAGAAAATAGGTGAATTTCGGGGATGTTTTCCGTAAATATTTATTAGTCGATGACTGATGACGTAACCTCAATGGATTCAGATTAAAAATCTGCACCGTCATCGGAATCTCCCTCTGCGTTGGAGGATGTAGGCGAGGGGTGGTCCATCCGGCTAGATCCAGGTAGATCGGGCAGGTCTACCCTAGAATTCGCTCCTTTTGCCACAGGCAGCTTTCCCTTTCCGTTCCCCTTGGAATATTGGGTGTAACCCGCTCCATTAAAGAGGGCGTTCTTGATTGCGAGATCTATGCTTCCGTTGGACGGTTCATCCTTGTTGTCGTTTGTTGGCGGTGTGCGTACCAATGCCTCATTTCCATCAGATTGCCCTGGAGCCGGATATTGTGGGCCTTTCCTTGTGGCGTAAGCAGGTTGGGCGGGGCCGGTGTAGTCAGCTGACGCGTCGTTGCCGTGCGAGACACCATCTCTCGGTTCTGATTGGTTGGTCGAGGGCTTCTTCTTCATCATCTTACGAGTCACGTGACGCTTCTCTTCCACTGTCCAATCATCGTTCTCGATGATACGATGTGTAACTCTCACCTGTCAAAGAGTTGAAAAGAAAAACCCATAATATTATGGTTTTAAAAAACACAAACATCCACGCCCACACAAACGCAACACGATTAAACCCACAAACACATTTGGAGCCATAGTGGAGCCAAAACTTAATCTGATAGGAAAATGGGGAAGATGAGATAGAGGAGACTACACCAAATACAACGGCAATAGTGCCATCAAAGCTTTTTTTTTTAAAGTACTGGTTTCCATAGTCTTGTGATGTTTATGTTCTAGCATAAAATTATTTCATATCAGTTTATATATATCGTGTAAAAAATAAATTACACTGTCTGTTTAAAGTTGAAGTTATAAGTGTTATAAGTATTGCTTATTTTCTACAAGATAAATGTAACACATATTTTGTATTTTTTTAATGTTGATGGTCTGACAAATATACCCAATCAAGATAAACAAATGAAGCGTTTAATTCCAAAAGAAGCTAAATTAATTTGTAACTTCAGAGAAAAGAGAAATTGATTACCAGACTTTGTATAGGCGTTTTAATATGGAATAGTGATATTAGAAGGTGCATTTTTCATAATGGCTCCCAAAATTTAGGTAAATAATTTTGATGAAAGACGGGTACTTATAAAGTGAACAATGTTCTGATATCAATAAATCAATTTTCATCACATTCTCAAGTGAATTTAGCTCCTTTTGGAATTAAACTCTTAAAATAATAATAATTATAATATTGCCATACCTCTTCCATCACATCAGTGTCCTCCAAGATGGCACCTGGGATGCTCTCTTCAATCGGGGTTTCACATCGGAGAACCTATATTTAGATGTTATCCAAATGAAAGGGAATGCTATCAAATACTGTAGATCGGAATTTACATTTGTCATCTACCATTTTTCACAATTGTAGAATGTTAATGATAAATAACGCATTCTGGCATTACATAGCACATCCACAAGTCTCCATAGGTATAACACTAGATTATATTTTGATACGTGTTCTCATTTTGTAAACGTTTACCATTATATTATAAGAAACCCCCTTTTAGATAAGAGGCGATATTTACTGGCTCAGTATTAATAGAAACGTCCCATTTTCAGAGCTTGTACATCTATTTCTTTTTTTAAAGTGAGGAAGCTATCAACTATGCTGAAATTTTATCGCATGACGATTATCTCCATTAAATAGTTATTTGGCTAGCTTCCTGAGCAGGTTATGACTAAAACGTTGACGTATCAAACCCCTCTTATTTCCATGTCATAAAATACGAAAATTATATATAGATTTACCGGTTGTGGGCGGCGCTTCCTGGGGCGTGTCACGGGACCGCGAGATGGGTCACTGGCTCCTGAGAGAGAGAGAGAGAGAGAGAGAGAGAGAGAAAGAGAAAGAGAAATATGGGGGAGAGAGAGAGAGATGGGGTGAGAGAGAGCAGGAGAGAGAGAGAAAGAGAGAGAAAGAGAGAGTGACACATAGAGAGATGTTAAATTCACATGAAACCGTCTATATTCACGCTATTCATTAAATAAAAAAGAATATCTTCAGGAATCATAATCCAAGAAAAAATTCCAATATTGAGGGGTTAATACGTTGTTATTATGAAATTACCCTGACCATGCTAATTGTTTTAATGGTCCTAATTAAAGTGCGGCTTTCACGTAATGATGAAACTTATTCAAATGGAAAATAAACTTGTTGTGATCATATCGCTATCGTGTAACACAAAGAAAAGGCGGCTAGTGACAGCGTCAGTGGAACATTATATGCATGTCTAGGATTATATCAGAAGCAAAATCTTTGATTTTCTGACAAGCAAAACAATGCGTTAAAACTTAAAAGTACCTCCATTGCAATGTTTAAATATGTGAACAACTATTTAGAGGAAAAAGAAATGAAGTTTTAGTCCCCCTGTTTCAATACCTGTCCCACCTCAGGAAACACAAATGGCCAAATTTCAATATCTAATAAAGTTCACACCTGTCAACTTAATGTCCTGTACATTACTTCGAGAAGTTTTCTCTTTGTCACGGCGAGAACTTCCTTGGGTATTACTCAGGTTAGACGTGCGAATATCTTCCGGGTCAATCACGTAATCCACACAGTTGAGGTCACATTGTCCTGAAGACTGTAGGTATTAAAGGAAAACGTGAGCGGGAGTATGAATGATAAATGCTGAATATGTCTGTACTTATTCAATAGAGGCTGAGAATATCTCCTTGTTAACGAGAAAGCTACTGTACAAATGTGCATTCAACTTAGGGAAACATGGCGACAAATTTACTCTGACAAAATTATTTGAAAAGCTTTAGCGCCCCTGACCCAATTCTGAGTTTTCTTCTGACGTAAGACTACGTTTGTGAATGGCGAAGCCTTTGACGCACCACAAGAGTGTGACATCGTATGAAAACCCGAATACAAAAAATAAACAGTGCAAATATTGCCTTGAGTAACGAGTGTATAGGGCAGTTTCTAATCACAGGTTTGATTAATAGTGCATGTTATGATGCATTGATGGGCTGGGCATATAGCAAGACTTCAGGACAATAGATGGACACATCGTTTAACAGAATGGCAACCAAGGATGGGAAAGAGAAGAAGAGGAAGGCGGAAGAGAAGATGGATAGATGACCTAACATCATACATGGGAACGGCCGCTTGGACTAGGATAGCTTGAGACAGAAGAGAATGGAAATGTTGTGAGAATGGATTTGTCCAACGTCTGGATGAGCTATAGCCTGATAGATAGATAGATAGATAGATATATGACGCAATCGAAACGACGCCTTGAATGCAAGAAGCGTAATGATTAAAAAAGGTAACTGTTTGATAAGACATGGTACTTCTGAAAATTAACATTTCTTTCTGAGTCGATGATATTTTGAATTAGAAAGCTACATACGCCTGTAGCATTGAGCCCGAGATGAGCAGAGATGGCGTTAGAATCGATGAATTCGCCTCTCGAAAGCATAATCTGTTTTCGCTTTAGACGCCAAGCCTGTCGAACCTGTACGAATGACAAATAAAATACTTAATCAATATCACCGAATGGTTTCAACATTTCTCTCTTAGAAATTCCGCCCTACGAGTTATTACAGAAATTGATATGGAAAGTAAGGCATAAAACAAGTAAAACTTTTGGATTATTAACTAAACTGTTTGGGTACTAAAACTGTATACCGGTGCTCCAATATGTACACCGGCAACAATATCTGGGGGTGTTTCACAAAGCCTTTTGTCAATGACAAATGACAAAAATCAGTGACAAATCTGCTGATAACCAATCAGAAGCAAGGTTTTCACTAGCTTATAAATTATAACAAAAACTGTTATTTGTCATTGATGACAAGTTTTGTAAAACACCCCCTGGACCTTATTTCATCAAAGTCCAGGGTTTGATAAGATAATAAGCTTATTGATAATAAATTCTCGCCTTTCGGAAATCGTTTGAAAATATAACCAACCTCTGAATTCATAAGACAGTGGAAAAAGAAAACGAAAAATCCTTGGAGTGAGTTGAAGATGGTGAAGAGATACTGAAAGATAACGGTGTCCGAGTTGATGGCCATCAATCCAAAGGCCCAGGTTAACCCAAGTAGTGGGAGGAGGAAAATGGCGCCTTTGACCCCAGCCCTGTAAAAATATAAAATAATAGTGGGTTCTTTTTAGCGCTCAAGTCGGTCAGACTTGACACCCCCGGGGAGGGTTTCCCAAATATCCTAATCTGGAATTATCTCTAAGTTGGACTTAACAATTATGGAAAGCTGTTTGCATCTTTGAAAATATTTTGTAAAAGTTATTTTAAAAGTCATAACATGTTGATTCAAATCATTCATATTTTCTATTATCAAGGAGAATTCATGTTCTTGATGTGGAATTTAATTTTTGCTTTTGAATATATTTTATTTTAAGGCTACAAATGGCTTTCCATAATGTTCAAGTCCAACTTAGAGTTAAGTTCGACTTAGGATGTTTGTGAAACACCCCAGGTAGTCAAATTGTATTACTCCGGCTTTAGCATGGCTGCCCTCTAGTGCCCTTACATCGCTCTAGCATTTCAAAGAATTAATTCCTGCCAAGGACCCATTTACCTCACCTGGGTCAAGCGTGTCAAAAGTAGGTTAATATCTTGCCAACGGATATTAATGCCGTGTCGGGACTCGAACCGCGAACCATGTGATCCACAGTCCGGTTATGTATCTACTAGGCTATGACACCTCCACATAAATATATCAATATTTATTATATCAACATTATACTAAACCAGAAAGGTATGACATATGATATATAGCTAATCTTAAATCGTGTTATTAACTTGTATTTCAAGGTAGGCTGGCATGAATAAATAAGTATGACTTATTTGTCATGTTTTAGATGGAACTTCTGAACCAGTTAACTAGAAACGTACTGAAGTAAATAATATGTGCACATTACACTACACATCATACATGTAAATATTGTTCATGCTTAATAATACCTCGACTTTCTAAGTTTTCTAATCCCTCAGCTATAAAAAAATATTTGTTACCAAAATCGTTTTCCATAAATTAATCTCCCCCCCCCCCTTTTTTTTTCCTACTCATGAGCATTGATACGAACGTGAATATTCGATGCAAAATTTATTTAATTCTATGACATATTATTTTTGTCGAAGAATGAGATAACACATTCCAAAAAGGAAGTGGCAAGAAAGGGAGCTTTAGATGCCTGAGCAGCACAGGCCTCTCTGTACATTAAACGAAAAAGTTATTTGTCTTACTTTGCTTGTTCTTTGCTGCTCCCAGCTTTTACATTCGTCGCTTGAATGATGATTTTGACCACCATACACATGACAGCCATATTAACCTGCAGTAAAGGAACAAGGTATATAATGCGAGTTTACTTTCGAGTGCATATGTCATGACATGTTATTGGAAAGTAGAGTTAAATCCAAGAAACGGGTACATTTGTGATAGCATATAATATGATAAGAAGAGAAAGAGAGAGAGAGAGAGAGAGAGAGTGAGAGAAAGAGTGAGAGAGAAAAACATGCAAAGTTAGTGTTAGTAATGTAGGCAAGCTTGATTTAATAAACAGTAGATCAACGTATATGTTTGAATCCGAATGAATAATTGCATATACATATTTAGTTACTGAATGCAAATAAATAAAATTTTGACATAAAACATCAGGACTATAAAATTCTGGATACTGCAGAATAAGTTCTCGCAGGCTTCTTAAGAATTGTGATGTATACATATGTAAACAACCCGATTACTACCTTTGAATTTCGCAGATTTCATTAATTCCTTATCAGAATACAGAACCTGTATCTAATTACAGGAATTGATAAAAACATGTAGGACAACGGGGCCCATCAAGAGCAAGGGAAGCTTCAAAGTGCTGATGAGATGACGAGATAATTTAGGATAAGACGAGAAGATGATTTGTTGGAACTCGGAAAGTATAGACTTCTTTACAAGTTGACAAGTCGCGGGAACTCAGCAAGTCGGCTTGTTTAGGATAAGATGACGAGATGACATGTTGTTTGAACTCAACAAGTCAACTTGTTTATGACGTGAAGACGGGAACACAAGTTAAAAGACGAGAAGACGAGTTATTGAAACTCTCAAAGTCAACTTGTCCTAATTAAGTTGACTTTTCTGACTCTCATGTATTCATTCCAAAGAAGTCGACTTGTCGAATTGAAACGATCCGCCATCTCAACTTCTTCTTCTACTTATGTTAAAGTCGACTTGCCGAATTCCAACACATTTTATTCCCGTCTACTTTTCCTAAATCTTGTCGTCATTTCATCGGCACTTTTGAGCTTCCGTACATATGCAGGATACTTCGCTGCATGAACGAAATTAAGATGGGTAAATAATTAATTTGGAACTTACCACGATGATTCCTACGGCTGGACCAACAAAAGCCCAGATAAATCCACGCTCAACGATTAGCCAACATCTAGCAAAGTAAATATTTAGATATTAAAAATAACAGAGCTGTGAAAGGAAGCAATCGTTTTTTCCGTTGAAATCAAGCGCATACCGGGCGTTTTCGTCCAAAATAATGTACGAAAGATGTTTTAATAGCGCACCCCAAATAACTGTCATACTGTATCTTAAAGTTCAAACCACCCAAGCATCGACACTCTAGTATTCCTTACTCCCCCCCCCCTCTCTCTCTCTCTCTCTTTCTCTCTGTCTCCCCTCTTTCTCTCTCTCTCTCTCTCTTCCTCTCTCCCTCTTCCCTCTTCCCTCATTCTCTTTCGCTCCCTCTCATTCTTTCTCAATCTTCTCTCAGTACCTTTCCCCTATTAAACTACACCCCCGGTTTTTCTAGTGATTCCAGTGACTATCAGATGAACAACATAAAATTGCGACGAACCCTCCATCCGAACCGTATCCATCATGGTCAATCGCCGTTGTTATGCCAACCACCAAGACGGGGATTCCCCATCCCAGCAGGGAGTATACCTTCCAGCGACTGGTCTCCGAACCAAAGACCCTCACTACCATGTTGTAAAGATGCAGTCCCTCCGTCAACATCCAGGAGAAGACGGATAGGTAGAAGAAATGAAGGAGGATGGCAATTACTTTGCATGCAATCTGTAAGAACGAGACCATATGATAATTCAAATCAAGTCAATTCAATATGGTTTATTCAAAGATACAAAGTAATAGTCCTGGGGCTAATTGCACTATGTTAGTAATGTTAATAATGACATGAAATAGAATCAACAATTTATTTTTTAAAAAGACTTAAAAAGTTGTAAAAAATACATAGTCATTACAAATAAAAATGACGCCTTCAAAGAAACATGAATTTTGATTATGCTTGTCATAATTATTTAAATATGAGAAAAATGGTATTAAATATTTCGTCAGGTCTGCGAACACTGTCGTTGGTATAAATGGAATTTTAAACGTAGTATAAATATGTGTATAGCGCTTTTTACTAGGTTTCTAAGCGCTTCTATGGATTAAATTGCTAACCCTGACATGATATTTTACACATTCTGCTCCCTAGGGAGTATAAATGAAAGCCTACATGAAGTACAAAAGATCACCAAGCTCTCACCTTAATCTTAGTTTCTCCTACTCCGGCGATGAACAGAAGATCCGAAATCATGAGAGCCACTACCAGGTTCTTGTGAATAAACGTACGATCTGATTTAAGAGATCTGCATCAAATAGGGATGTTAAAGGTAATGCAAAGCTTTAGGCAATTTCGAAAATTGAATGGATAGTAATTCTTTAAAATGTTGATATATTTGGATGCTCATGTGGATGTATTGTAATCACTAGCCCCTAAAACACTTTTGCTTTCGAGAAATTGAATAATTAATAATAAATTTACCAATGCTCCCGGTAAATTTCAAATAACGCCTACGGCCATTCCATGGTAGATGGAACCATGAAAATCTCAGAATATGCTGTTCTGATATATCATTTCAACAGGGGAAAAACGAATATGTCGATTGTAATCAAGAAACATTGTTTTAAAGTTAAAGTAATATCAGTCTTGAGAGGCTATACAACATAAAGAGTTTATTTTTTTTACAATTTCATCACTTTAGACTCGATTTCAACCGCGACAAAGATCATTGAATATTGTAAATGTAAATGTTGTCTTCTTACAGACAAAGAGACAGCTAAATTACAAGGAAACGGAAAACAAGCTATAACCTAACAAAAATAAATAGTATGTATAATTATTACTCTGCCACTACTATGCTTGAGCCTCTGTCTAGACACGTGACCGAAATAAGTTTCCATGTTGAACTTACATTGGACAAATATATACATTCAATTGAAATGAAATTGCATGTATCAAACAGTAACAAATTGAACGCAAACGTCTGGAGACTTACCCGAGATAAGTAAAGGTGAAAATGGTGAGCACTAATGCTAAAATGGAGATACTGCATCCTACATAGGTCAACCATTTCAGAGCGGTTTGGTGCACTGCCGGGATCTGAAAGTTCGGGAAATGAGACACAAAACATTTAATAGATGTTTCGTGTATCGTGATTCGTTCACTTGACTCTCAATCCCAGAGATGAGGGTTCGAATCCCAGCCCAGCACCAACGTCATTTGGCAAGACGTTAATCCACATTTGCAACTCCCCAACAAGGTGTAAATGGATACCCGGCAATTGCTGGGGCTTCTCTTGGTAAACAAATATATATTTAGTGTTTTGAATAATTGTTGCAGGAATCACCGGATTAACTTACACGACAGGTGTCATTACGTGAGTTGTTCAGTTAATTCTGTCTACAACAATACAATATCATCTCACGTTTGTGTTATGATTGGAAACAAGTCGAGATAATAGCACAAAATCATGACTTTCACATTTTGTCCCGGTTTAGTTCAAACTTTCACCGGTCTATATCTTTCATTTTCTATTTTCTTTTTTAAATTAGGTTATTCTTAAAGTTGGATTTCACTTTATGGTATTGCTTCCCTTTACTGACCTCGTATTCGACGACCTGCATAAGGATAGCGAAGGAGGTCGTATGAGCACAGCGACATGATGACCGCCCGGACGATGACGAGTTAGAAAGTAGACTGCACCCAGCATCTGACCATACTCTGCATCGACCAAAGAAAAATTAGATGAAAGTGTTTCTTTTTAAACTCTCCATTTGCAACAAGTGCGAATTTTCACATAATTCTACAGGATTTACTACGTTTCATAGGATCTTCGCGTCATGTCGGGTTGTCGGGTTACACGAACTTTTGTGAGAACATTTCCCCATATTCAAGAAAGTTCAGGTAATTTGGATGCAAAGACTCTCATTTTTATATAAAGAACATAGTCCTTAAGATATAACTAATCGTTTCACATGTACTTCAGTGAAAACATGCCTATACAGTCAGACAATGACGTTGATCTTTAGCATTGTTGAAAAATCTTGAAATCAAATGCCTGTATTTTGTAGTAAGACGTGTAGGGTCGAGACGCGAGCTTTCGCAGATTTTTCCAAAAAAGTCGGGTAAACTGGGCCCACCACTTCGGCGAAAGGCGTGGTATATTTCCCACACGTTACATATGGCCCTTCGCGAATTAGGGCTTGATTAGTCACAAGAGTTTTTGTAACCGACGCGAAGATCTGATGGAACGAAGTGAGCCAAATCTGCAGACATGCAATGGGTGCCGATCGGCGCAGACAAAAACGATATTGGTGGATATTATCGACTATTTGGAACACTAAAAACTTAAAAAGTATCATAGCGCTTACAGAATCACAGAATATGAACAGAATCATAAAATACATAGACTTATGAAATAGGAACCAATAAAGGGAGGATTGCACTGTGCCTTATCAAAGCGCCGTGTGGTAACACATTTCATATCGTAATTTGTTACATGACAATCCTGTCATCACATTGTGTTTCAGACTAGTGCTGTACTAGAAATATCTAAATAAACTACAAGCCAATAGTCAATCTTCCGTTTCAGAAAGCGAATAGCGAGGTTAATTGAATGGCACATTAAGAGTCAATACATAAAGAAACAATCATTAAGAAGAATAGAAGGTGAAGGAACGGAAAGGACAGCCACAGGGAAAGCGGGAAAAAGATGAGAAGAAATTAATAAAGTAAAAGAAGAGAACTTAAAAAAAAACAAGAAAGAAGAAGAAGAAATCCTGTGAAAAAAGTATTATGCAAATCAAGATTGAACGTCGATATCGCTTTTGTTACTTTATTATCATATTTCAATATTATATCATTGAAAAACATGCTTTTTTCCCTCTTCATTGAATAATTCAGTGTAGAAAATATTAATACATTTTGCAACATTTAACTTTTGACTTCTCCCATATTCAGGTTTACTGCACATTCCATGATAACATTACACATGGGGCATCAATATAAAGAGGAATAAACAGGCTTTCCAATAATATATACTAACGTCAAGTTTGATAATGTGGTAACAACTCAACCCTAAATTGCAAAACAAAAATTGAGGAGTTTTGTTAACTGCATCGATATGAGATAGTGGCTTATGGAAACCTTTCACCTCTCACCTTCGAGCTTCCCGCCAAAATACGCATTTAGCCCGGGTTTTTCTTTTCCTTGTTTTCCCGTTGACCACGATCGTCTGTTCGTCATCATCAAGCTCCTGTGATTCAACACGTGAGTAGGACTAATTATTAATTTGGACTAATATTACTATTAATATGGCGCGTATACTGGAGCGGTATAGGAAGCGAGCCGGTCGGGAAGACCATATGTACCTGACGTGGCCTTCGATCTGGGCCGGTCAAGAGGTACATTGTTGTTTTGTATACGCTTCCTGGCACTATTGTGTCTCCACTCTCCTCGTTAGACTGCTCTAGCCAAGACCGGTCTGGCGTAGACCTGTCATAAAAAGTGGCCTTTATTATTTTATTTTACCATATGCCTCGGTGTGTTCCCTTAATATTACTGAAAATTATCGCAATTGCCTTTTTAAGTCTTCTGCTATCATGGTTATTGTAAGTTTATTCTCATCTTTATCATAATATAATGCGATGAACTATTCAGAAATGAATGAATAAATAGACGAACAACAAAATAATAATAAACTAATGAATAAATAAAGTATTGAAAGAATGCCACAAAAGTATGTTTAATGTAATATTTACCTTGGTCAAAGAAAAAACACTATACGTTAAATAATAACACTATGGACGAATTCTATATGATTTATAATTGATTTTTCGTCAGTATTTTGGGGTGGTATATTCATCAACTGAAAATGAAGGAAGTTGATTCTAAAGACGTAAAAAGAAAATTAGTAAACGCTGACTTTTTAAAAAATGAAAATGAATCGAAAAATTAATGAGGACGAAATCAGGTGCCATTTTTAAGGATTTAGAATTTAAATTTAGATTTATAAAAAAAAAAAAAAAAAAAAAATTAAATAATTTTTTTTAAAGTAATACAAAGAAAAAAACTGATTTATATTGGTTAAGGCGATCGTAACAAGTCGTTTAGGCTTTTAAAAACCTTAAAGTTCAGTAAGCAATATACTCTTGTGGACAAAATACCATGCATTGATTGTCAAAATTCATATGTTGGAGAAAAATGGGAACACTGAATGATCGATTGAAGGAACACAAAAGAGCCCTCAGATTGAGCAATCCATATCACTCGGCAGTAGCAGAACACACCCTTTATACTGGACATAACATTTGATGGGATGATAACCATATCATTGACTTTAAAGTAGACGTCTGGTCAAGAAAGGTGGAAGAATCTATTCGTATCCAAATTTTAATCCTTTGGTGAATAGGGACTCTGGCTAAAAATATCTTCTCTCTATATGATCCCGAGGTAGCAGATAGCTAGAAACCGTGTGAAGAATCATTTGGCTCGGGGAAGTCCACAGGAGTGGATGGAAGCTTGCCTACAAAGTTTAAAGTTGGTAGAAGCCCAAATTACATATTCAATCATTATTTCAAATGATACTTCACCTGTTCATGTCGAAGGGTAAACGTGACAGGAACGGAATGTTTCTTTACTTGATCAGTCAGAGTGAAGCTTAAAACCCCGCTTATCAAAGATTGCTCGATTGCAGTGGCATTTCCGTTTGTGCCCAAGCTAGGAACAAAAAAACGAGATCAACTGACGAGGGTGACATTAAGAAAACACAACAAACACAACGGTCAATATTCTAATGAATACTATTTTCGTAATGCAACAAAATTTGGCTTGACTTTCGAATAGAGTTTAAGTTAGGGTTAGAGTTATGGTTATAGATAGGGCTATGATTAGGTAAAGTGTTACTTAGGAAATATAAGTCTTCATATTTAGCTTTAATGATGAACCTACGAACGTCTGGTCAATTTTTGTGGTGGGGTATTCTAAAGTAGCTCCCTAAATGTAGTTCATACGTCTTTGTAAAGTCCCTTGATACGAATTATTCATTCACCTCTTCCAAATAAATTTATATCAATAGTATGTAAATTGCATATATTACAAGTTATTAGTTAGAGCAAGCCATTTTGTTTGTACTACCTAGAAGCAACAAATGCATGCAATGCGCATTTGACTACTTAAAATATTGAAGTCAATTGCTAGTTTTTAGATCGACAACTTCTGATTTTCAAAGCCATGAAAAATGTCGACTTTTCAGAGAGCCATTGTAATACTCCTCTGACAGACCCTAAACAGCAAATAAGTTTATATTATTGTTAAAAAAAATGGCTTATAAGCTTTGCGTTGATATATAATTCATTTATTTCATCGTCACTTCCGACAGGGTCCTTATAAGGAATAATATAGACAAATAGACTGCTATGAGAGGCATCGCTGTTTCTATAGGCTCAAGGGGACGTTACATCTTACCGCCCTGGGGCGCCTCGGGGTCACATCAGGACGTAACGTCCCCAGAGCCAGTATAGAAACAGCTATGCTTCGAATATTAAAGCAGTCCATATATCTTTGATGTACCGAATTCACAAACAAATCTACAAAGAATTCTTATCTTATCCTTTTCTTGAGTAAAGACTGGCTAAAACATCACAGAAAATCTGAGGCAATGTCTGAAAATCTTCGATGGAAAGTTGCCTGAATGTTACGATCATTCGGGAATCACAAACACTGTATTTTGTATCCGTGCGCTCACAAAGAAACTGTTGACACTTTAACCAATGGGGATCCCAGCAAAACGAATTTATGCGGCCCGTTACCGGGGCAACGGGCATCTTTTAAACAACTATTTACCGGTAGCCGGACGTGCGGGCATTAAAAAAAAAATGACCGGTAGGCAGGCATGGCTAAAATCACGAGTCCCATTACGACCAATCAGATGACTAGATTTATTCAATATACTGAAGAGAGGTACGGATATTATCAATCATAAAACACTGCGAACAGAACCCAGTCTGACTTTTATGCGACCGCGCAAGGACGACGCGTCCTTGCGCGGTCGCATAAAAGTCAGACTAGTCTTCTCAACAATTTTGTTTAAAAACATTTCACTGACAGGGTGTAAAATTGAATATCACTTGGTAAAAGTAGTAATTATTTGAAACTCATATTTTAATACAGTCCTGGACCTTCCTGTATCAAGATAGATAAAATTTAACAGAAAATAATAATTACTCTGTAACTTCGATGTCAAAGGCGTCATCATCCACTGCGTCGGTTACCATTTCGTTATAAACTACAGCCACGGATAGGGAACCTGTAAAATCCATAAAAAATACAACCGTGTTTCATATTCCCTTATTTTCACTTAGATTTTAAAGTCATCATAATAACAATTTAAAACCGCAACACACATATCGTAATCAGCAAATTCTTTATAGAAATTTGGCAGTAGTTATTCGTGGCCAAAATCGAAGGTCAAGTTTTCAGGGTTAAACCACATAATTATTTTCAAATTTACTCCAAATTGCTCAAATTAAGAATGGCTATAATAACATGTTTAATTTGAACGATTCTTCCGCTAAATATACAACAACAAAAAGTTCTCATGACGTAAGAGGGTCCCCCCCCCCCCATTTTGTTATAAAGTTCTCGCAATGTTGTTTGTGAATGCAACGAGAACGTTTTTTCTGAGTTGTTGATATATATTTAAAAAATCTTATTGACAAACCTTAGACATGGAACATAATATTCTCTTTACAAAAAAAAAACACTCTTTGATGACGCGTTCGGGAATATAAGGGGAGGGCAGTCCAAATAATAGCTCAATATATGAGCAATATATTTAAGATTCAAGATTCAGGATGATCTACGAAATATCATTAAGAATGCCTGCAGAAGTCTTATTCTAAAATGTTAAGAATCTAAATGCCCTATTTAATTTTATTTTTTTAGACACCCGATATACCTTCAACATCTTGCACGTTTTCCATATCGCAATGTATCGCTGCACTGGCGTCGGAAAAGAGGTTGTCTTGAAGTGATGCCGCAGTTCTCTGGATGTCGCCTTCGCCTCCGATGGTGAACCAGTTGGTGGGCGAAGCTCGGTCAATGTTTTCTACCAAGATGACTATGAGATGGGAGGGGAGTAAGAGAGAGAGATAGAGTGTGTGTGTGTGTGTGTGTGTGTGTGTATGTGTAGAGGTGTGTGTGTGTGTGTGTGTGGGTGTGGGTGTGTGTGTGGGGGGGGTATGTGTATGTGGTATTCAAGTGATAGAGATGGGAAAAGTGAGACAGAGATGGAGGGTAGATATATAGAGAGAAAGAAATGTGATAAGAAGTACAAACTCAAACCTTGAAAGGTACAAATGGTAACATTGCATGAAATGTCGACCTATTAGTACTTAACACATATGAAAGATTCAGTATTAAACCTCCAAAGGGAAAAATGTAAATATTGGATAAAAAGTGCAACGTTAAATCTCAAGTTCTGAAAACAGCGTAATATGCACCGTTTTTTGTTAACGCTTTGGTTGCTGTCTTTACCATTCATTCTGCACAGTTGCCAACGGTGCAAATTTTGCACAAAACCATAGGCACCAATATTATTGATGAAACGATTTCTTAGTGATCAAAATGGCTTTGCATAATGACCTTTTTCCGATTATGATAAGCTCCATGGTATTCCTTTTAACACCGGTAATAATTTGGTAATAATCTTGTGCTAAAACAGTTAACTTATCTTGAAGCCTGTGATGTATATATTACATGATAGATACAAAGTGGCACAGGGATAGTAAATGCGTGGCAGGTAAAGAGTTAAACTTTGAACTTAAAATTTACCCATTCCATCAGTTGATACGGATGCGTTTTGATTAGACTGTTGGGCATACATCGTGGTTATCCTCTCACTGAATACAGTAAACTCCATGACGACTTCCAAAGTCTGGAGGGAAAGGAAAAAAATCAATATACACTGTTGCTCATAACGGTGGAATATTTTTTTTTATCCCAATTTATGGAATCATTTTAAAAATAATTTAAAAATACTAGATCTAGATAATAGTATACAGTCTCAGATTTTATTGAATAATAATTTGCCAATATGTGTTTTGCGTGACTGCTAAAGCATGTATGTTATGCTACTATGTTAATTAACTAGGGGACCTATGCCCTTAAGTCATAAATGACAGTAATGAGGATTAATGCCTCACAAAAGGGCACTAATATAGCACATCGACACGGTGTTGATCCTGGGGCCTCACAGTTACGAGGCCATTGCTTTGTCACTGAACCATGACTGTACGCAGCGGGGGCTATGGTAGGGGGCAGTTTCCATAAATTTAAAAAAAAACAGAAAATGCAATAAATTTTCAATAATTTATTGCATTCTACCCCGGTCCCCAACATAAAAAAATCTTCTGTGTGCCCATGCCTTGAGCCATAATGCATGGCCGTCCAGAGGATTTTTTTATGTTGGGGACCGGGGTAGAATGCAATAAATTATTGAATATTTATTGCATTTTCTGTTTTTTTTTTAATTTATGGAAACTGCCCCCTACCCTAGCCCCCGCTGCGTACAGTCATGGTTCAGTGACAAAGCAATGGCCTCGTAACTGTGAGGCCCCAGGATCAACACCGTGTCGATGTGCTATATCAGAGCCCTTTTGTGAGGCATTAATCCTCATTACTGTCATTTATGACTTAAGGGCATAGGTCCCCTTGTTGATAAACATAGTAGCATAATATACATGCTTTAGCAGTCACGCAAAACACATATTGGCAAATTATTATTCAATAAAATCTGAGACTGTATACTATTATCTAGATCTAGTATTTTTAAATTATTTATAAAATAATTCCATAAATTGGGATAAAAAAAATATTCCACCGTTATGAGCAACAGTGTATATTGATAAATGCAAACGTAGCTATACTTTTCATTTTGTTTTCGTAGTACGTTTAAGAATCTATGTCTAGCGTTGTACATAACTACACTGTCATAACTATTGTTACTGGCATATATTTTACTATAGGTACTAGTATTACTACTACTACTACATAATAATAATACTAATACTTCTGCTACTACTACTACTACTACTGAAATTCAACTACTACTATTACCTTTACTGCCTTTACTATTACTAAACTGCTGCTGTTGCTACTATAAGTACTCCTAACGCTGCTACTACTATTGCTAATACTACTACTACTACTACTACTACTACTACTACTACTACTACTAATACAACTACTAATAATACGACTTCTATTTCTTCTACTACTGCTACATATTCATACTCCGCGTTTACGTAGCGCTTAATCAGCTATATTAATACCTTGCTTATCGGCTTTCGCACACAAATTATGCATATTCTCCACTCTCTTGGGAGCATTCTAGCTAGGCGCCATTTTACATACTCTCACAATGTTGAGCATACTTCGTTAACGTTCGCATCCTATCGTGTACCTATTTAATACCTGGGTGGAGAGTGGCAAATTTAGATTAACGTCTTGCCAAAAGACGGTATAGTGCCGTGTTGGGGTTTAAAACTCGTACCTTGTGATCTACAGTCAGGCGACTTAACCATTGGAAACCATGCAATTGAAATGATCGTGTCACCGCTGTGAAATTAGTTAAGCTCCATCAAAGCAAATTATGAAAGAGCCCCCTCATAATTCCAAGCAATTGCATTCAAAAGATTACACATACTAACAAATTACCTGGCCAGTCAGAAACTGCTCCAGTAACTTGTTGATTCCAAGTAATTCCTGCGTCATAAACATAAAAAAGATACAATTGAAACAATCGTAAATAGTTCAGCATAATACAAAAAAGGAAAACAAAAAAGCGTACTTCCTCTGATCGCCGTGCCGAGTTGGATAAATCACCTTTCTTTACTATTTTCCTCGGTTTGTATCGTTACAAAATTAAGAATTACATGGCGAAATATTGTTATGTTTCAATGTATGCTACTCGTCTTTTATTCATGAATTTATTTGACACCCAATCATCGCTCAGATAATTGCTATAATATGCTCAAAATGTAGACTTTGATTCGCTCACTAGTAGTCTAGATCTGAGGTGGTAGTAAATTAGTTACAGTGTAATGATATAAACTTAGATAATAACACAACTATTATTAATGCTAAGCTCAGTACAAACTAAGTAAGCAAGACCGTCTCCTAATTCTACATCTTCTGATGTAATCTAAGTGAGATGAAAATATGGAGCGCCAGGAGTGTCAAGCCTGACAGACATGAGCGCTATACAAGAACCCACTTTTATTATTATTATTATATTCCAAGTCTAGATCTAAATCTACCACATTTATAACACAAACTGAGTTTAAATCTATGTAGTGAGGTTTAAATTGACTGCAAAATGATGTGCAAGTTCTGCTATGCATTCAGCGTTATCATTTTAGATCTAAAGATCTGAAAGAGTCAATTGTATATTTGCCATTTGACATTTCAGATTTACAGTACGTATACTGACAAAAGCTGAAGTGAGAACACGGGGTGTGGTCAGTCAGATGCAAAATACACCCTGAGGAGTGTTTCACAAAGACTAAGATCGACTTTTAGTTAAACTTGACTATGGCAGGCTATTCATGCCACTGTCTGCTATCACCATTGTTGTAGAGAAAAAGTTTGAATTATAACTTAAGTTTACATTGTTAGTTTAAAAATTCTTCAACAATGAACTATCAAAACATTTGAATTATGTAGATTTGTGACGTCCCTTGAGAGACCAATGGTGAGAGCAACCGATTGCATGAACAGCCTGCCATATTGAAGTCCAACTTAAAGTCGATCTTAGTCTTTGTGAAACACCCCCTGGTTTCGCATAAACAACATGTCATGTGTTTGATATGTCATGAGAGTGAACTTTGGAAAGATTCCACGCCCACTGCCGAACGTTGAAATAGGTAACCAGACTTTGAATGAAGTACAGGTTTTAAAAATATGCGGTATCCTTGTGCAATCAGATCTCACGTGGAAAAGCGATGTAATCACCATGGTTTCCAGGGCTAAATGGAGAAGGTCCATGTTGAGACAACTCAAATCCTTCGAGCTCAGCTGTGAGTATTTATTGATTGTGTATACACTGGCTATGTTTAGGCTTTTGGTGGAGTATGCAGTCCCCATGTGGCATCCAAGGCCGGTGTTTCACAAAGATTCGAAGTTGAACTTAACATTTATGAAAAGCCGTTAGCATCTATGAAATTATTTTGTAAAATTTATTATTAAAAGGCATACAATTTTGATTCAAATCGTTCATATTTTCTATTATCATGGGAGATTTCATGTTCTTGATGTTGAATTTATGAAAAGTCTAAAATACTTGAATTTTCGCTTTAAAATATATTTTTTTAAGCTACAAACGGCTCTCCATCATTTTTAAGTCCAACTTAGAGTTAAGTTCGACTTATGATCTTTGTGAAACACCTCCTGGTCAAATCAGCAATGTACTCAATTAAAGAGAATTCAGAAATGTTCTTAAAGCTACTTGGTAGCATTGTTCAGATGAGGTGCTAAGGTAGCGACTTCAATGCTAGATGTACAATGTACGTCTTATCCAGTGGCTGTCATGGAATCTTCATGGCTTTACTTGTACCAAGTATAACGTTAATCCGCAGACTGAAGTTTGACTATATGAGACTTCTTTGTCAAACTAAGGCAATAGGCAATAGGCAGTAGGCAATTATCATTGATATATCAAATTTTAGTCACATTGCGTTTTTTGTATTCTTGGTTTCCTTTATTGAAAAGGAAACATTCGTTTCCATTCCCCATACAACACATACCTTTTCCTTTCTCGTCTCCATGACTTAACCGTTGCCTTTTCTTCTTCCTTTCCTTCGAACGAAAATAAGTCTTTTGGATTATAATAACCATGTTATTGATTCACATTTCTCATGCCAAATCCAGTATCATTCTTTTATTTCTTATAACATGATGGTAATTGTTATATTCATTTTGTTCTGTATTCTTTTCGAAACAAATTGGACAATTTAGCGTAGGCTGCGAGACAGATTTTGATTAAATATACCATTTAATAAATGCATCCCTCTTCAGCATAGACATTTCCCATCCTTTTTCTATCACTGCAAACCTCTCAGTGAGTATTCAAAATCTC